ATGATCCGGCAGCAGCAGTACAAGTTCCTGCCCTCGGAGCTGCGGGATGAGGAGCAGAACTGAGCCCCGCGCCCTCCCGCCGCTCACCGCACAGACTGCTGCCTGCCCATCTGCTCATATTTAAGGCAACTTGCCTTGAGCAAAGGGCTGCTTGGGCTGGCCCAGAGCTCTGCCCGCACCCAGAACGCCGGGGCTAACCTAGCCGCCGCTCCAAGCTGGTGCCGCACCAGCAACTCCACTTGGCCGCCCAGACCAACCTTCCCACGAGCGCCCAGGGCATGGCCAGAGCGCCCGGAGGGACCTGGCTGGGGTGGGAGCTGGAGCTGCACCAGCTCAGGGCTCACCTGCCAGCCCTGGCGTACGGGGTCGGAGAGCTCTACACTGCAGGGGATTTTTTTCTGTGTGCCTTCATGGTTCTCACTTGTGCTCCTTTTTTCTCTCCGCCGCACAGGAGGGGGAGAGGCAGGCGGCTTGCCCTCTCCTGTACGATGGAGTGCATGCTCCCTCCCTAAGCTCTTGCACGGAGCCTTCTTTCACCTCCAATGCCTTATTGCTGGCTGAATCTTCCTCCTCTTCCTCCTCAGCTTCCGTGGGAGGCACTGAGCCCCCTCCATGAGCATCTTCTTCAGCCTGGGTCCCTCTGGGGTGCAGCAGGGCTGGAAGCCACAGTGCCTCTGCTCAGGATGGGTGGGGGTGCAATGGGTTCACCCCCAGAGCTGCTCTTTGCCTTCCCATGAGGCTTCCCCCAGCCTCAGCCAGCTCTGCCCTCCTCCTCCTTCCCAAGTGCCTGCATTGTTTTCCAAGGTCTGCAGTATTTTTGTAACTTTTCCGTTTCTCTAGTATTGAGCCTGCAGCTTTTAAAATTCATTTATTCCCCCCGCCCCCAGCTCATGTCCTACCCACTAACACCCAGCTCTTGCCGGGGTCCCGCAGCCCAGCATCCCACCCCTCCTTGGCTCCGGGACCCTCATCACTCCCCCTTTGCACCCGCTGAGGCTTCTCTCACTATTTTGATACTTTATGCATCCCATATTAAACATTGAAGGAAACCAGCTCCCCCCGAGGTTCTGGGGTGGGGTGGGGGGGTGCCGATGTCTCCTTGGAAAGACGCGCTCATCAATAAAACCTGGTTTTCCTGCTTTCTTGATGCCTGGGTAGCGGTAGGACCTCCCCCCAGGAGAAAGGGAGGGCTGGTGGGCAGGGGGGGCGCGGGTGCCTGCCCTCGGCAGAGGAGGGGGGAGCGTAGCACGGGTGCTTATACACCATGGAAAATATTTGAGGCACGTCCAGCCCCAGGGCCCCGGCGCGCCGGAC